AAAAAAGAAAAAAAAAAAAAAGTGCCCGATTAGAAGCAAAATACTCCATTTTTCGTGACTCGAATGAAAGTTTGCACAATTACTCTGCAATGTCTCCTGTTACGATTACCAGTTTTTTTTTCGTTTAAATTTTCGTCGTTTATTGGTCACACTTTATTGTACACACGCATTACCATTTATTTATATAAATAACTAAGTGCATAACTGCAGAACTGTTACAGGTGTCCGCGCATAGGGACAGCGTGCTGCCACTCAGAAGACTGCCAAAGAATCGATAGAAAACACATGCGCCCCACAGAATCTCGTCACTCTGTGAAGATCTCGCTTTCGTTGTGGTTAGAAAACACTTACGTTAGAAATGTAATTTAAGAAGAATTGAAACAGAATGACGACGTACATCGTAATTCCACTGACCATCTACAAGAATAGAATCAGTTTCACAGTTACGGAGGAATTTCATTTCACGCACGGTTAATAAACAGAAATTTCGATGATGATTTAAACAGGTCTCACCTGTGTGAAAAACGATGCATTCATGTCGAATGTTCTTGCTCCAAATACGTTTCTCCTGTGCATTATTTGCAGAGAGAAAAGCTCGACCTGCAATTTCACGATTAATAAATGCATAACAGCTAGAAAAGATAGCTACTTCGTTTCTGAATAATGACTACATCAGTGTGCATTTTATTCCTACATCTTTAAATTTTCACAGTCTAATAATGTAATTGCTCAGCAATATTATTATCGTCCAAGTGTTACCTCGCGTTGCACCAATGGATCGCTCGCATTACTGAAAACGTTATACAGAGTTGCCTTTATCTTCTCCGCTTGATTGGTCGTTGTCTCACATGCCCAAATCATCATCGCAAACTTAAGAAAATAAAAAGCCACCCCCGACAAGTACCCCATAATCCAGTTCTCCATATTTTCAGACGAGCCCTTGTACATATAAAGTATACAAAAATACAGATTCAAAGTGACCGAGATGAACGTACTGATTGCCATGATTATAATATGTATCATGAACGTATCGTTCATTAATTCAATTATATCGCTGATCTCCAAATGTTTCTTCTCGAAGTTCTTCAGCTTCGTTATCAATAAAGAATTTGGAGATCCATGGTGGATGAACGTCTGCGTCCATATATCATCGTTGATTGCAAGCTTTCTCATTTGTTGAATACATTCGTCGATTTTGGCCAAGCAAGCTTTCAAAACGCACACGCAGTTCATGTGCAGCATGTCTATCGAAAAGTTAGCCATCATTATGTAGATGGAGTAAAAACTCCGCAGAGTGAGGAAAATGTTCTGCTTGAAGCAATTTGGTATGTGACTGACGAGAAACAGGAAACCTAGAATGTCCTTCGTGTGAATCACTCTAGCTAAATCCTTGAAATCGTTTGCAGATAACATCGAGCTAGTCTTTGACAAGTTCTGGATCATCGACAATCGAGCAACAGTTAACATGTACATCGTTAAAATCACCGCCCCGTCCAAAAAATAAAACAAGTTCACACAAATTGTCTTTGTAATGCTGCTGTCCGACGTCCTGGTAACATTTATTTCGTACACCATGACGAGCAACGAGAGTACGTAGATGAACATCATGGACGTGGAGAAAGCGAAACGGCTTTTGCAAAGTGAGTATACTGGTGGCTCGTACTTGTACGGAAAATTTCCAAATAGCCAGCAGACGAAGAAACAGGGATGCATCAGTGAATTAAAGTCCGTTGCCTTTAGAAGTATCCATGCTCTGTGTTTCCTCAATTTCTCGACTTTCGCCGTGCTTTTGAACATCGTAGAAATTCGGGGGCGATTCCTCGTTAGCGACCGAACTTGTGAATGTTAGGTGACTACTATTTTTCATAAACGATTATTGTGCCTGAGGCGAAAGCACTTTGGATAATCGCGTTCGATCATCAAAGCGCCATAAAAAAAAAAAAAAAAGAAAAAAAGAAAATGCAATTCAATAATGAAACGCGAGTTTCGATAAATAATACATGGCTATTTCGTCGCGTGATAAAGATGCTTTTAACATGATTAAATACGGTAGTTTATCACGAGAGAAAAAAAAAAAAATGTAATTGTCTCTTAAATATATTTCATCCCTTAGCACAGGAATCTCATTTAACTGAAGCTTTGCTCGATCAAGGTTAAATGAATAAGAATTGTATTAATATTAACAGAAAAGTGGTAATGCCGCATGATATCTGTAAAAAAATATTTGCCGAAGAGTTATAGTTGATCTTTATAATTGAATTACGCGTTGATTCACCTTTGTTAAAAAGGTCGCATCTATTACGAGTCCTTTCATCGCGAACGTGGCGCCTTTCTGCAATACTTGCAGTGAAAACAACTCCAACTGGGATCAAACACATTAATACAAATTAAAATCCTCGTAACTTAGTTTCTATGTAACATATAAATCATCATTCATCTTACCTCCGTTGTCACCTGTTCGTCGAAAGTATGTACAAGAACTTGATGAATGTTGGTGCCAATTTTCTTTATTTGACTCTTGGTAATTTCAATGAACGAAACTATGACGATTATGTGCGCGGTGTAAAGGATTGCGTAGCAAAGTACAGAAAGGAACGACTCCATCTTCAGCGTTCCAGAATACAACGCTACATACTTATAAATGTTGAATGTAACATCGACAAAGTACAACGATAGTACCAATTCGATCTGCGTGCTAAACGAGTGGTTTAGTAGCTGAACAACTTCACTCATCTCTAAATGTTGTTTCTTAAGGGTCCTGAGCTTCGTCAGCAGCATAGGATTCCTCTGCATGTGATAGACTCTCCTGAGTAGATGAGGCTCGTCGTTGACCAAAACTTCTTTCACTTTCGCCAGTGAATCATTGATATGCTTGAAGCATGCATTTAGCACGTACACGTTGTTCGTGTACAAGATAATCAGCATAAACGGACCGACGAAAGTGTACCAAAACACGAAATGAAGAATATATTGTTCAAAAAAAATTCGTGGAAAGAATATTAACAATGGCGTGGAAAGCAATACATCTTTGACGAAAATGATCTTGGCTATTTCGCGAAAAATTCCTGGAGACAATACGTAAGAAACGTTCGAAACACGATTGATCGCTTGGATCACTGATCGACTTTTAACATAAGCAGCGATGAAAATCGTGGGGCCGAAAAGTATTAGAAAATTGAAATGCAGTGTGATTGATATATCCTTGGATTCATTAATAAAATTAATTGTGTACACGGAACAAAGTACGGAGGCCAAATAAATGATTACGGAGATTGTGGAGAAAACGAAATATAATTTCGAATACACAAATCTCGATGATTCAACTCTGAATGGTAAGAATCCCACCAAACGATTGAGGAAAACACTAATGTATATTACCGATGCGTAACTTCTGAAGTATGACAGTAGTGACAACCATAGTTTACGTTTCTCAGCTGATCCCTTCTCGAGTTTTTCGAGTTTCGACGATTGATTAAACATTTCGAGAACTTGAAGTAGAACGATGTAATTAAAACAAGTAGTTCCTCAATGTTGTTGTTCAAGTTCTTTACAAAAAAAAAAAAAAGTAAAACTTTATTCTCTGTACGAACGAAGTTTTGCCTTCGAGACCGTGTTTTACACTGCCCCGAATGAAAGATATTCTCCCACTGTAACAAGCATGAATATATTATCGTTTGTCGAATTAATAGTGGAATCTAATCATTTCTACGGGAATCTAATTCGAGCATCTAAAACGAAAGTAAAGTGCAACGTATTAACGAAAGGAGTCGGAACAGTATTATCTTGATTAATATTGATCGATGAAAGCAACTCATGACGCGCTATTTTATCGATTTTACTTCTTACTTCTTATTCCAACGTAAACTGTTATTGATCGACGAAGACATGCCGATATTTTAAAACTGTTGCAACTTCGTGAATGTTAGAGTTACGCGATGAAAGTTCGAATGTTAGAATTTTCTAAATTCATAAATTGGCGGGAAAAGATTGTACAGCAAAAATTTGTGAGATAATTTTGAAAGAGAAACTTTAATCTTCGAGATTGCAGTGCATTTTATTATTAACAAAATTTTTCAGTGTTTTTACATTGACATTTGAATTTTTACCATTTTTTGTGGACGAGAAAGTACCCTGATTTTTCCACAATGTTAGAACAATGTCTTTGAAAATCGACTGTCAAAGTAAAGACTTTATGTTTTAAAACAAGCACAAGTGGATTATCATATAATTTTTTTTTTCCAAGTTATAGTAGCTTAATATATCGACAATTCGAGTGTCTGAATACTTTTGCAGATCAGTGTATATTATGA